CTTAATGTTTGATTCAGCAGTGATACTGAAAGGAGAATTTATAAGCCAATCACTCTTAGAGGTCAAAGGGTTCATTCTGATTGACAACAATTTTTAACAAACCAAAGAACAACTAAAAATAATAGTTGTGATTCAGCTCTTTGAAAGTGTCTTTTTCTCTACTTGAAAGAAAAGCTTAGAAACTCTTTGCAGTGGCCAATTTACCAACTCAGTTGATAAAACCACATCATCTTCTTATACTCCTCCACTGACGTAGCAACAAAGTTTCTTAAGAAACCTGCCTCCTTTATGAAAGAAAAGAAATTAAAAATTTTGCTGTACTATGTAAAGTATACAGACGTACAGTATTGTTCTAATATGAGCATTTTTACTTTCTAATTGGAAGAGGTAATAGTTTAAATTAAGTACAAAAAGAACTTTCTGTACTTACAACCAATTTAATGACATATTCACTGATTGTAAACTTGGTAGAGTTTTCAAAGAGCAGTTAGTGAGATCAAGCCTGAAAACAAGAGATAACATGTTTCTGTTAGATATATTTAAAATGGCTCTCTAGGAGAGCGTAGGATTGGGTTCGTGGTGTTGCACTAGCATTTTGAATTTCCACCTAATTTTAGACCAACACTCTTCAAAACTTTTCAGTTTTAAGTGACTGACTTTTGTTCTCTGATCTATTTTTACAGTTTCTGGAATCGGATTGAATCAGATTGAGCATGAGTTACCCATCAAGGCAAATGTGTAAGAGTAGTAATTTTATTGTTTATGGAATAAAGAAGATTACAATCCATGATTTTTCAGCCAATTTTCTAGTTAGTGATGCCTAATGTATGCCCCTATCCTTAAACTGACAGGGTAATCAGAAGTGTAGCTCTTAAATCTACTGGAGTCCACAATAAAAACTTACCTTGTCTTTCTATAAATTATAATTTTGAGAGCCAGATTTTCCTCCATCCGAAAAAAATTGTATCTTAGCAAAATTTACTACGAGACAGGAGAGAGTCTTGAGAAGTCACACCAACTTTACTCGATCAAGGCATCTCTGAATTGACTAATTTGGACAGACGTACTTTTTCAATAGTTAGATTGTTAAGGCACTTTTCTACGCAGGACTTCCTGGGCTGTTTTGAATACAGGGTTTAATTTAGGAAAAGTTAATTCTAAGTTTACAAAGTAATCCATCTACTGAATCATCTATTGAATGATATTGAAGCCGGTACACTGCAAAAATTGCAAAGCTCGATGTACAAAACTGATAGAGATGTTCAAAACGTAAGAATAAATAAAGAGTATAATACAAAAGAACTTACCCAATGATTCCTGTTCCATTACTCACACAACATCGCCATATGGTTGTTTCATTTACCTTACAGGATGCTGTGACATTGTGGCCTCCATCGAAGCAAGACCTCAACTTACAAATCTCAAATTTTTTTGAATCGTGTGACCATTGCCCTTGAAAACTACCGAAGCTCGTATTTACAATAAATAAAAAATAGAAAAGTAAACAGCCTGAGAAAAATCGGCGAAGATTTAGAGACATACTTAAAATATTAAAACCTACAGAGGGAAACAGAACCGTCTCGTGTTTTGAGAATCCTCTGAAAATCATGTGATCTGCTACCATGGGGTCACCCGCTGACTAATCAAGCCAGTATCTAGGATACACAATACACCAGATACCTCAAGCGGTAAAAACATGGCGGCTGCACTGTCATGAAAATATAAATTGAATCAGACCTTTACTGGGAGACCTTAGAAATATAAACTGTAAAAATGCAGCTACGTTATATGAAGACTCTTCTGAACCCGCAGGTAAAGAAGCTTCCTTTTCTAATTTTGTTTTAGAATGACAATTATTATTATAGAGCTTTCATGTTACCATATGCATCGTGAACGAGAAGTTGTCAAGTTGCAGCTCCGATTTTGATCTTTTGTCGCCAGTAGACAGTTATGATGCATGTAATAAACTCACAGGAAATAATATTTTTAGATTTCAATGACTTTTTTGCGTTTCGCGATGTTTTTTTGAAAAAAATTATTATGTAAACAAGGTTAATTCTTTTTATTGAACCCAAATTAAGCTTAGCACGTACTCATACCTTAGTTGTTTAGTTCCTCAGAAAATGTTTTGGTGAAAAGTTTGACACCGTCACACAAAAGTTGTTAGATCTTTTTTAGTTACCGACAATGACAACTTCGGGGAGGTTCTTTTAGCTAGAATTTGAGGCCCAAGTGCTTCACCCTTGAGCTAAAAATGTGAGTGGGAAAACAAGGTTAGGTCACTTACAGTACAGACTAAGAAAACAATTTTTTAAAAGATATTTTAATTGTTTAGTAAGATATTTCAATTCAAGCAAACTTTTGAATTTAGGGGGCTGTACAATAAAATATGGCCTGCTAAACTGACCAATCATATTGCATGTTGATCTACTAACTGAGAGATATGATACAATAACTTATATTAGGATTTTGATTGTTGTTATATTAATTACAATGAGAATGACTCTGTCAGTAACTTTGTTTTTTAACTTAAAGGATGGAGCCTGTAAGGTTACAGCTTTGGCATGGTCACCAAACAACACCAAAATGGCTGTAGTCACCATGGACAGAGTAGTTATACTTTATGATGAGCTAGGAGAGAGAAGAGATAAGTTTTCAACAAAACCAGCAAATTCTCAGGTATTTCACAGTAGTTTAATCATTTAACCCCTAAGAGTGACTAGCATCTAAATTCTTTCCTTACTATATCACCCTTGAATCACACATTAAAGTCACATAAAGCAAATGATCAGC